ATCAGGATAAATTACAATGATTAAAGTTCATACTAGAAATGAACAGATGCACAAAAATATCACTGTTTTCTGAATGCATAAAATCCACAAAAGAAAACAATGTGTATTTTTTCAGAGATGAATTTGAGCTTTTTAGCAAAATTCCTTTATTAGGCAATGTCAACACAGTTCATCAAGTTGAAAAGAAATGAGACAATAGTGTTGACTACATGATCACACAGCTGTCAAGAGTAACATTTCTGCTTTGGGAAGTGGAAGTTACAGAAATAGAGATGGCCTCACTTAATAATATATTTTTATAATACTCTAATATTTTCATAATAGTGTATGAGTCATTTCATAATCTTTGATTACTAAATGAATGAATGTTATTGATTTCATGGAATGGTGCAAAGGAAGCTGTTTTGGTTTAAAATACTATCTAAGATGCAAAAGGAATCATGGAGAATTCTCTCTTCCATTCAGAGCTATTAGGAGCAAGTCACTCTTATGCTCACAATAAGAAAAAAGTGATGCAAACTGAAAATCAACAACCCTTCTTAGATCCATCAGAGACTTGAAGTCAAAAGGCAAATGACTGCCCCTCAAATTGGAGAGACAAGTATCAGATAAAAAGAGTCATAAGTTATTTGATGGAAAAGCCAGGAACAGAAATCACCAATGGGGTCAACATCAGGGCAGAACAATTTTTAAAATATGATTAACAATTACTGGAGGTTAGAAGTAGATAAGCCTGGCAGAAACTTCAAAGGGCACCAACCCTAGTGGGGGCTAGATACTTTCATGAGTTTTACTCAAAAAAGAAAAAAAAAAACCACTGTGAAAAATCAGAGAATATTCTCTTTATGCTTCCAGTAGGGGGAGGAAAAAAATTAGACATTTTGAAGTGACCCAGAGAATTCTTTTTTTTCTTAAGATTTTCCCTCAAAGAAACTATTTTACCATGGCCAAACCAACTGAGATTTTACCAGACCTTAATCAAAATGGGAGAAGAAAAATATTCATCTCTAGCTCCTTATGACCTTCTTATTTTACCTAAATTTGAGGATGGGAGATAAAAAACGTTTATAATGTCAACACCCAGAGACTCAAGCTTGGTAAAATATTAGGTCCAAATAACAGGACTACAGAAACTTCCCCTATCCCCCAAATTTAGCACATCACATATATGGCTTCTCTACTTATTACCGGTTTACAACTGAAATATTTGCATCTTTCAGACCTTATTTAGGAAGAAGTATTTGTAACAATTCAAAGATAATAGGAAAAAGTATAATAACAAAAAAATCAACAAAAAGAAATGAGGAGACCAATTAAATTTTAGCCTCTGACACCTAACAAATAAAACAGACCTGGTGTAGCTCCAAACCAGGTGAACATAAAACTTCATATTAAAGACCCATTTAGCTCAGGTCCTTTTGCTCAGTGTATCATGTCCAGTTTTAATAAGATATTACATGGTATACCAAAAGATGAATAACAATATTTAAAAAATAAATTAAGAATCTTAAATGGACTAACATGGTATTCTAGCTAGACTATGGGCCAGATTCAATGCAATATTGGGGTAATCAGACTAGGGATGTAAAACTGTGGTTAGTATAATAAAGATTCTAGCAGGAAAAATAAACAATATTTAAGAACAGATGAGCACTGTAAGCAGTGAAAGGGAAACTCTAAAAAGGAATGGGAAAATGACTGAAATTAAAGGCACTATAACAGAAATGAAAGGTGTCTTTGATGGGCCTGTCCAGAGATTATAGACAGACCATGAAAGAATCATTAAGCTTAAAGAAATGTCAATAGAAATTTCCAAACATGCAAAAAAAGAGGAAAAAAAAAAAAACCTTGTAAATAACAGCATATCCAAGAAATGTAGTATAATTACAAATGGTGAAACACGTACACATGAGAATATCAGAGAGAAAAAGGAGAGAAAAGAAGAGAAAAAAATATTTTAGGGCTCAGGGTTTAACCACCAGTACTGAAAAAAGAGGCGAAAAAACATATTTCAAGCAGTAATGGCAGATAATTTTCCACAATTAATATCAGACACCATATCATAAGAATATGAAGCTCAGGAAATATCACATAAGGTAAATATCAAAAAATGACATCTAGGCAAATTATATTTTAACTTCAGAAAATCAAACCCAAAGGTAAAAAAATCTGGAAATAAGCCAGATAATAGAAGAAAATCCATGTTATCCAACTGAAAAGGATCTGAATTATAGCAACCTTCTCTTCAAACACTATGCACTTCAAACATCTAAATCTGATCTAAAAAAAAAAAGTCTAATTTTTTAAAGAAGATGGTAAAAACAACTAGAGTATTCAAAGAAAAAAACCCCTATCAAATTAAATCTTATGTCCAATGAAATTATCCTTCAAACATGAAGAAGAAATAAGGCTTTCTCAAACAAAAATTAAGAGAATTTGTCACCAGTAGACTGACTTTGCAAAAATATGTTATATGTTCTTCAGAGAAGAGAAACAACATAGATCAGATCAAATCTAGAAAACAAAGATTGGTCACTGGAGAAAAAAATGAAGATAAAATAAAATATTTTATTTTCCCTATCCATAGTTGATATAATAATTAAAAACTGTTTAAAATGATAGCACCAATGTATTTAGTGATTATAGGTTATAAATAAGTGAAATGAATGATGTGATAGTATGATGGATAGCTGGCTGGAAGAACTGGAAAAACTGCTATAAGTTACCTACACAACTTGCAAAGCACAGGGTCTTGTTTGAAAGTCAATTTTCCTGCAAGCACATTAGGGAAACCATCAAAAAAGGTTAAAAAATATAAATGATACTCTAAGAGCAAAGATAAAATAGAATAATATCAGCTGGGCATGGTAGAGCATGCCTGTAATCCCAGCAGCACCTTGGGAGGCTGGCTGATGAGGGGATCGGATCTCAAGTTCAAAGCCAGCCTCAGCAATGGTGAGGCGATAAGCAACTCAGTGACACCCTGTCTCTAAATAAAATACAAAAATAGGGCTGGAAATGTGGCTCAGTGGTTGAGTGCCCCTGAGTTCAATCCCTGATAACCCTCCCCCCCCAAAATAGAATAATATCAACTAGAACAAGATCAATGAATGGAAAATGGTAAAAAAAATATGGTGGATGTTAATCCAAGTATTTCAACAAACACTTTAAACTTCAATAGTCTGAATATACAAATTAAAGACAGTGAATAAAAGAAGATCCAACTACATGTCAACTACAAGAAACCCACTTTCAATATATACACAGATGATTAAAAGGTTAAGAATGAAGAAAAATATATGATAATTACACTAATCAAATACAGTAATTCTAATAGTTTCAGAAAATGGAGAATTTACATCAAAAAATAAAATTGTCAGGGATTAATAGGGACATTATAAAATAATGAGGTTAAGTCTCCAAGACGACATTGCAATCATGATATATACCTTACCTGAGTAGCAAAATACATCAAGAAAAAAAATTAAAAAATATCAAAAACTGATAATGTTATGAAACTAGAAAAAGAGTAAATATAAAGCAATCATAAGAAAATAATTAAAATTTTCCTATTTAAATTCATATTCTTTTAAAATGTATGTTGATTCTGTTTTTAGATAATATTTAATATGTCTGTTATATTAATATCTTAACTTTATATTTTTCATAATCTAAAAACAATAAAATTATTATTGATCAAGATCTTAGGCAAAATCAAATTAATTAGAAAGAGGGAATCAATGGACAAAAAATCACTAAAACCTAGAGTGAGTACTTTGAAAATACTGACAAAATTGATAAAGCTCTATTCAGGGTAACTAGCCACAAAAAAGACACAAATTATTAATATCAGAAATGAAAGAAAATGATACCCTAATGATCCTATAACTATTAACAGGACAATAAAGGACTATTAAGAGCAACTTTATGCCTAAACATCTACATGAATTAGACTAATTCCCTAAAAGCCACAATCTAACAAAATTGATATTGACAAGTGATAATCTGAATTATGTGTGAATACATTAAATAGTTCAGTCAATAATTAACAGCCATCCAAAAAAGAAAACATCACAATTTGTGTTATGCAAATAAATTTATAAATATTCAAGGAAAAAAATTATACCAACTCTTAAAAATTTCTTTCAGAAGAAAGAAGCAGAGAAAATACTTTCCAATTGATTCTAGGAAGCATTACCCTCATAACCCAACCAGAAAACCTAAAACTGATCTAAAAAATAAAGTCTAATTTTAAAAAATATATATAGTAAAAACAAGTAAAGTGAATAAGAAAATTCTTTATAATACTCACAGCAGAAAAAACAGTATGGGATATTAAGGAGACCACATTTTCGTAGATATAATTTTCAAATCTAAACTTTTGCTTTTAAGAGTTAATTCCATTTATAGATAGGTAATTCTAATTACTGCTGGGGTAAGTTGACCTTTTTATCAGTTCAATACCAAAAAAAGCCCTATTAGAATAACTTTTGGTATTTTAACTAATATTAAAAAAAAATCAACAACTCAGAGGTGAGAGAATTTTCATTTAAAAAAAACGTGAACTCTGCAAAACAAATTTTAAAAAGCAAAATCATTGTTAAAAAAATAAATAAACATTGACATAATTCCCATGACAATTTTGGGAGTGAACTTGAATGTGTTAATTATTATAAAGAAATACTCAGTTATACTGATTATTAAACGAACAAAAGACCTGTGTTTCTATTGGTTGTTATCTTGATAAAATGTGGAAATGGCTGACCTCCCTTTATGACCACCCTAGGAATCACATTAGAATTTAATGCATGGATGCTTTGACTATGAGACTTCTAACATTTCTTAATGGAAATTTAAAATTTCTTCAATGAAACTTCTAAAAACCCAAGTTATAAACTTTATTACAATTTTCCCTTTGTAGAAAATCACCAAAAAGCCTTATAAAATCACATAAGAAAATAGTTTAGGCCAATTAAAGAAAGCACTGAAAGACCACCTACCTCAACAGGGCATTTTTCCCATCACTTCTAGTACACCAAACCTGTCGAGTTTGATAGCCAATCTCTACGTCCCAGGGCTGCGAATGGTGATGTGCTTTGTAACTTTGATGTCTAAAGGTGACTTGCTCATTCGAATCAGAGCTAAAATCCAGAACAGTTCTTTCGCTGAGGCTAATTTCTTTAAGATGAGGAAGTCTACATTTACTCCACGGTCCAACCTTAAGGCTGAAAGTATATTCCTCTTCCCCAAGAGGGCAGGAGATGGAAACATCACAAGCCCTGGACTCGGTCAGATTGGGACACTGCACACCGCCATACAGAGGGGGCGCGATGGCCGCCCGAGTTCTGTGCTGCAGCTTCTTCCCACATCCTTTGCTACACTTGGACCATGGGGAGAACTCTGATACAACACAATCTCGGGGACAAGGAATGAGGCAAGCTTGTTCTGTGGGGGGCTGAGGGGCAAAGTGTTCACAGATGTCACTGGCCACCATGGTTCTGTTCAACTTCTGAAGACAGCGTACTGTTCGGTGCTGCAGTCCGTGTTGAGCGGTCACACACTCAGAAGTCCTAGGCTTGACTTCTCCCTGGGCATAAGGAACAAGCACACAGTGGTGCCAATCAGAAACCTCCCATTGGAAGAGGTCACTGTGCCAGTCACAGACTCGGAAACAACTTCTTTCCGTTGGAGGCCTGCTGCTCTCATCACAGTTAGATAAGTGACTTGTCCACCCTTCAACGTGAAAACACCATACTGCACGACTCTGGACTCCTCCCGGCCCACAGTCTCCTGTACACCTTCCCCAGGGACCTACAGGCAGAAAAACAAGGGTGTGGATACTAAGAGACACATTCTGCTACGCACATGAAGATGGAGATCAGTTTACACACTTCCCAACCCAATCAGTGTGAAATGATAAACTTCAGTGGAACACAGACTTAATGTAGCAGTTAAGAATGGGGGTTCTGCCTCAGTTTTCTCCTGTTGAAATCTCATTCCGCCTCTGATCTGTAGTGTAAACTTGCAAGAATTACTTCAACTTTCCAAACTTTAGTTCCTTACCTACATTAGGTTAAAAATAATAAATGCACCAACTTGTACGGCAGTTATGAGGATCAATGATACAATGTGGTGCCAAGAAGACAATACACATTTAATAAATGATTGCTCCCATTAAAATTACTATGTTCCAAAGCCTATATATCTAGCTCAATACTAATATTTTTCTAGTTAGGCAATGGTTCATTTAAAGCAAAGCCCTAAAGCCAGGATTTTAATAAAGCAGAATTTTTCATGTTTCCAATGATTTAGTTCATACCCTAAGAGACTCAGAAGAGAAATATGTTTTAAAAAATAACTTGCTGAAGTATCCTAAATATATTTTCATTTTCTAAATAACTGTCCTCAGTTTCAGTTGGTGCTTACAGAGGAAACTGCATGAAGAAAAACTTAAACTGATACAGGATTGAAAAAGTAAGGTGGTATAAGAAACAACAGCACTGAATTGCCTATAGAAATTTTGCCCCTAGAACCGTAGAAATAAAATGTGCTATCTTTTTTTTTGAGACTAGGTCTCACTATATTACTCAGTCTGGCCTTGAACTCCTAGGCTGTTCTCCTGTCTCAGCCTTCAATTACATAGGACTACAGGTGTGCACCAATGCAGCTGGACAGTTTTAATATTTGGTGGGTATTGAAGTTGACAACATTAGCTTATAATTTATCATATCTTTTGATTAATTAGTCTTCATTGGAAAGAGATCAAGAAATGAGCAAACCAGAGGGCTGCCTATTGATGTTTATCACATTTTTGGCTTCTATCTATAGACATACCCCTTGGCATTATCCAAAAGGTTCATCGTGTATTTATTCCCAAGGATAGCAAGTAATCATATATTGAGTCAATTAGAAAAAAAATGGCTGCCTCTCTTTCCCTTTATTTAAATATATCATCTGAACCTGAAAAAAGTTTTATAAGGTTAAGTAGTTAACCTCTGCCCCTGCACAACTGTGAGGATCATTAAGGTACTTCACACTTCGAGAAGCATATTAATTGACAGGGACTAGAGAAATACATTTTCTCCCTTTCCCCCCAAATCTGATCATCCACTCAAATTTCCAATTAATTAATTGTATTTTCATGCACATTTTCATTACATTTGTAGCAACAGTAGGGCACGTACATAGCCACATGCATTGTGGCAGAAACATGTATCCCCAGACAAACAAGCATCTGCATTTGGGACTATGTGTGACAACGAGGATGTCTTACTTAAGCAGGACGATAAGACAACGGTTTCAAACTACAGTCATCCCAGTTCTTCCTCACATCCTCTTCTAGTTCATACAAACCTATAATTCTTGGCATTAACATGTTGGGCTACATTGATAATTACTCCTGTCACTTTGTAAGGGTGATTAACATGGAAAAATAACCCTCATCTTCTTTCATTCACCACAAGCAAGAGTTTCCTCTTGCTGAAACACAAGAATGGGTTTCATTGATTAGAAAGTCAGATTTTACTCAGGAAAATGCCTGTGGGTTTGTCTACTCACATCCTGGGGTGTGTCATGGCAGCACTGAGTGGTCATGGTTCAGAGAACACATGTGGGAAATGATGATCTCAACACTAACAGATTCCATTGCCTGCCCTGGATGTTCCCACAGTTACCTACAGTTTTGAACTTTGAAATTTGGGATAGTTGTTATTACTTGGCATGTTATTACATGCTCTATAGTCCAGATATTCTGGAGCACTTTAATTGTCTTAGCAACTTCTATCATGTCAGAATACACTTGTAAATTTTTTACTATTTATTAAAAAAAAGTCCAGTTACTAAAGAGAAATTTCAGAATTATACAACTTTAAAAGTCTAAAATTTTGAAGTTTGCAGCCAACTTTTAAAAATCAGTTTCAAACAACATAAAATGTTTTGGATAAAATGAGTTTATCTCTTCCTCCCATGGTGGGAGGGTAAGGAAGGGAGCACGGGGTTAGAAATGATGGTGGAATGTGATGGGCATTATTATCCTAAGTACATATATGAAGACAGGAATTGGTGTGAATATACTTTATATACAACCAGAGATATGAAATATTGTGTTCTATATGTGTAATAAAAATTGTAATGCATTTCGCTGTCATATAGAAAGAAAAAAATTATTTAAATTAAAAAATGTTTTGGATAAAATTAAACTTTCTGGAAAAGCACTGAGGCTTTTTAACAATGTTGTCATTTTATCACTATTTATTTAGATATTAAAAACATGCAACTTTCTATTCAGGATATTTGATATGTGGATTAAATAAAGACAAGAAAAGTCAAGCCACTTATAATCAATCTTGAAAATTTTAATATCAAATTTAACTCATTTATTACTTCTTCCTTTCAAAGCATTTGACTAATATATTTTCTTACCATTATAATACTGATTTCTTATTAAAAGTTCTCCAGTTACTTATAAACATTTATGGTAGCCTTTTTGTTATTTGAAATAATTATCACTTTATAAATTATATTGATAAGTCACTGTTATTCTCTTAGATTTCACATCCTCCAGTCATACAGAATTTTACCAAATAGTAACATTTTCCTAAATCAGTGGAAGACAAAATATAACTATTAAGAAATTAAAATTGCTACTATTGCAGATTTGCTTGTTAGCTTAGCCATGGTCTCCTATTGGCAGGTTAATATTCCTTTGGACATAAAAGCAACAACAAATGAAAGTGGTGGATGAACAATGATTTCTCCCTCCTAGAGCTGGAAATTTAGGCAGTAGCTGTCATGAGATAAAAAGTGCATATATTTGTAAACATTAGAGGGTACATTTAGAAAAACAGAGTGAAGTGAGAACAGTTCCTCATGTTAAAGCAAACTTTGGCGACAGCTGAAAACATTTAAATAACAAGTAAATGCAAAGTAAATTGTGTATGCTTAAACTAAATGAAAAACAAATTGCAAAAAAAAAGACATAGGAGATGGAGACAAGACCTTTCAGCAATTGACCTGTAATAATTTGCATTTCTCAGGCATGGAAGAAAATGTGTTCCATGATTTATTCACTTTTATTGGCAACAAACTTTCAATACACAGAGTGAAAATCACCTAGCCCTGAGGGGTTTTCAGAAAACATATTGAAGTAAAATGTGGCCTGTAGTTGGAGAAAGCTTATATCTCTTGTCCAATTTCAGAAATGGAAGATTAAAAATTTGAGCAGTTGCAGAAAAAAAGAAGAATATCATCTTTAAATTTACCACATACATAAAATGTGATTACATTCAGAATATATATTTGGGATAAGTAATGTAGGAAAAAATAATAAAATTATTATTTTAAATATCAGTTCCAACTTTTGTCTTAATTAGAACACAGGTACCAGATTATAAAATTAAACAAAATTTAGAACACCTAAAATATTTTAAAAGTTTAGTTACTAAGATTGCTCTAAACTTCAACTCATGCTATATTGCATTCTTGAAAACAATTTTCAATGATACAAAAGGGATGGTGGTTTTGAATATATTATCTGTCTTCTATCTGCAACTTACTATGCTTTCAGTACAACTAAATTCAGTTACTACCGAATAAACTGCTAAGTATTTTAAGCCACATCAGTTTTAATTAACAAATTAAAATTGTGGTTTTCAAGTAAGTTCTTTGGACGTTGAAGGGTAGCATTGATGAACTGAGGTCACATTCAAATTCTTGACTGGTTCCTTTTTGTCTTTGGCCTGTGTTTTGGCAGGAAGTTCAAATATGTGAAAGCTCTAATGTAATATTCTGCCAGAAGCAGAAAAGTGCTGGCAAATTTTATTCTCTTAATTAAGTTATCCCTTAACTTGATTAGTTTAGATGAATATGTTACCCAATCTAAATTATCATATTTGAGACAGACTGCTATATCCTTCAATTTAGGTGTGGTGCCCACTAAAATGTCTGCAGCCAAAAAAGGGGGGATTCTTCAGGTCAGAGAAAATCAACACACTCTCCACTGCTTCTGCATAGTACGTATCACTGTTTGAAGTGGCAACCCTGATTTAATATCATTCACGCAGTAGGAAGAGATGCTTGCCTTATTATTCATTTTTCCTAGCCACAGCTTTTATTATCCTGGCATTGTTGTAGTTTTAACTTGGGAAAGAGGGTTGAGGACTGACATGAATCATAATGCAGAACTTTACCATCTTAAGTTAAAATATCTGTGGATAATTATTCTACCAGAGCACTATCATAAACCACAGAATTATAAAATCTGATATAAAACAACAGTGACTCACTTGCAAGAGACTTCATCTTCAAGAAATAGCTCAAAATTTATGTAGTAACTTTCATTGCTCCAAAGACATCTGCAACAACTTTAGAATAAAGTAATAGCTCACTTACCTAGCAGATGCTTATATAAGAAACTTCACTTAATAAAATACATCCAAGAACACAAGAATGAGAAAAAGTGGTATTCATTCATTTAAACAATTATTCATCACTAACCATTTGACAGGTAGTACATCAGACTCTGGGAATATGAAAGTTAATGAGACATTATCTCTTACACAATCTGTATTCTAAAGGTACTGCTGGTTTACCCATGAGAAGGTCTTATGACCCCCTGTACAAGCCTATTTGCAACCTACCATACACTGTATTAACAACCTGAATGGTTTCCCAGAGTTCTTTAGATCTGAAGCAGCAAACCCAAAGCTGGGAGGGAATCTTGGAAGCAGGTATACTGATGAAAACAAGAAGAGTTGTGAGGTTCCAAGCCCAGATTTCTGTATCTATCAGGATAATCAGTAAATCCACCACCA